CCCTATCTCCAAATGCAGTCACATTTTGAGGGTCAGGACTTTAACATATGAACTTTGGGGGTAAGGGGGAAACAATTTAACCCATAACAGATGTAACAGTAACTCTGAGGTTTTCACTGTTGGCAACTAGGAGAATGATACTTATGTGAGAAACCTAGAAAGAGTTGCAGTTAGGAAAAGAAAGATGATGGATTTTCTTTACTCCTTTGGAGCTATACTTGCCACTGGCATGTAACTCTTAGTTTCTTATCTCTCTCCCATTAGACTGCAGGGACCTCTGTGTCATGGACATCATCATATTCTTCTCAGAGTGCCCAGCAAAAGGTTGACAAAGAGGAGTTATTCATTGAGTAAGTATGATTCTTGTAGCTGTCAAACAGGCATCTGGAAATAAGATACTACAGCTTGGGATTAGAGAACAAAATAGGAAGACTATCCATATTCCTTGTCCTTTATCTCACTTACTTTGGGTGGGCTGTAGAATCCATCAACTTTTTCAGAGTGTTCAAAAGTTGATATACAATTATGGATAATATTATCATGATTTCATACAAATTCCCTTACAGATAAATCAACATTAAGATTCAATGTTTTTTTATTTGCATTGTAATGGTGGTGATGAGAACAGCTGACATTTCTTGGGTGTTTCTTATGACTTGAAGAATTTCCAGTGCTTTACATATACTAATTCATTTATTTTTCATAACAATCCTGTTCTTATTCTCATTTTAAAGATGAAGAAACAAGCACAGACAAGGTAATTGAACAAATGACCTGGTGGCACAGTCAGCAAGGGGCAGAGTCAGGATCAAGCCTCAGCTGCTAGGATGGAAACCTAACTCTAATGCTCAGTAACTGGATAACCTTGGGCAAGTTACTTAATCTTTCTGTGCCTCAGTTTTCTTTCCTACCAAGTAGGGATAATATCAATACCTACCTCCTAAGGTTTGTGTCAAGATTAAAAGGTATGTAAAGTGCTTGAAATAGTGCCTGGCACGTAGTCAGCCCTCTGTGTATTACAACTAAAGCTGGCCATTATCTTCTGTAGATGCTTGTGCAACATGAAAAATGCAACAAGTTACTGAAGGGGCAAAGGTATATTTTAAGTATTCTTTTCTTCCCCACCTTCCACTTTTTATATTTCATCTCTATCATACATTTGATCAAAAATGTATTGTTTATGGTAAGGATTGTTTAAACCTACAACTAACACTAGTTTTCTGTCTTTTGAACTAAGTGAGTCCCTGGGGGTTGATTATATGGTCTATATATTGCTTTGATGAAAAGGTCTACACCTGTGCTATCCAATGTGGTAGCCATTAACTATATGTGATTATCAAGCCCCTGAAATGTGGTTAGTCTGAATTGAGATAAAAGTGTAAGACACAACAGATTTCAAAGACCTAGTATGAAAAAAAAAATGTAAAATATCTCAATATTTTTATATCGATTACAAGTTGAAGTGATAATATTTTGGATATATTAGGTTAAAGGAAATATATTGTTAAAATTAAGCTCATTTCCTTCATTTTACCTTCTTAAATGTGGCTATGGGAAAATTTTAAATTACACAAATAGCTTGCATTGTATTTCTGTTGGACAGCACTGGTCTGAAGGAAAGCCTCCTTTTTCACTCTGAGAATTTACTTCCAGAGGCATTTACCAGTTACTCTGCTGCTCTTTCCTCTTAGGGAGAGCTCCAGGGGCATCATATAATGGAGGGGAGCGGGGAGCTGGTAACCAGGCCTGAGTGCCAGGTCCAGCCCTGCCCCTGGCTTCCTGGGTGCCCTTTGGCAATTCCATCGACTCCTTGAGAGGCAGTATAGAATAATGCAGTGGTTCTTGAACCGCCGTCACATCAGAATCACCTGGGGAACTTGGTACAAAAAAATATGAAGACTCAGACCTTACAGCACTTCAGTGAGCTTGAGCTTATTAGTAATTCTGACATTGTTCTAATCACCTATTTATCCCATTGGTGAAGGAGGGATTCCCACCTGCTGTCCTCGAAAATTCATATGTTGAAACTTAATCCCCATCATGGTGGTATTTAGAAATGGGGCCTTTTAGGAAGTGGTTAAGGCTCATAAGTATATTAATGCCCTTAAAAAGAGACTGCTGAAAGAGTTCACATCTCTTGCTCTTTTGCCATGTGAAGACACAGACGTCCTCCCCTTTTCTTTGTCCTTCTGTCCCTTGTGCACTGTGAGGACATGGCAAGAAGGCCCTCACCAGACACACGACCTGCTGGAGCCTTGAACTTGGACTTTCCAGACTTCGGAGCTGTGAGAAATAAATTACCCAGCCTGTGGAATTTTGTTAAGCAGCATAAACGGACTAAGCCATCCCGCTAAATGCTATGAAGTGGTTGAACACACAAACCCTACACTCAGTCTACACAGTTAAGATTGGCAATAATTTATTAGTCAACGTGTATTCACAGCCTAGGGGAGGAGAACAGTGCACTCCATGCAGGGCCATGTGGGCGTTGCACTAGGAATAGATTGAACCAACAGGGGCTGTGGTAGGTTGACTTCGTAGTGACAGAGGGTAGGGCGATCCTTGGTTCCCAAAAGAGGATGTGACTGGCTTGTTTGAATAATTTCAGAGGCTGGGATAGAGGTAAAACCTGCTGTGTTGAGGATCTGGTAGGTACAGCTGGTCTGGCTGATGGGATGAATTGTGCCTGAGTCTTATTTATGAAGTGGCTGAGTGACAACATGGGGAGGTTAATGCCACTGAAAGAAGGTATAGTTCCACTGGAAATCATTATGGTTTGAATTGTGCATTCCTGCCCATCTTTTTCTGCCTTTTGTTTGTCCTCACATCATAGCATTTGTTCTCTGGCAGCTTTTTTTAGCAGTTCTGCTTCTCTTTGGCTAATAGAGCTCAGTCATCTTCCAGGACTCAGATTAATCCACGTTAAGAACCCCCTGCATTGCAGTGTGGGTTTAGGAGCCCATTCCTGTGCTTCCAGAAGACCCTGTGCATTACTCTGGCACTTAACCATGTGTAGCACGATTGCTGGTTTCCTGATCACTTGACTGTGAGCTTCTTGAGACTAGGGAATTGTATTAAGTATCTTTTTTAGTAAGGTTCCCATAAGTGTTCATTGAATTAACAAACGTACTTATTTAATGAAGAAGTAATAAGTTAACCTGTCCAGTGCTAGTTATGCAGGCAATGAAATAGTTGTCATTGTCAATATTTTGGTGGACATATTCTGTGGATTCTGTAACAGCAATCCATATAGGCATTGACTTTGAAGTGGAGAAAGCACCTTCCTAAGATGGTATTTAACAAAATCCTGAGACTGTTTTCCTTCCAAAGATGATCTTGATCTTGCCCAAGTTCAGCAAATATTGTGAAAGACCTAGAGGAATAAATTGGAAATAAAACTCTCCAAATCCTCCCAACTGGGGTCAATCTCAGAATGATACAATTCAGAGAGACCTTAGACCAACTAGTTTAGTCTTTCCATATGCCTCTGCCTGTGTGGTGGTGAGTTCATTCATTCTTTCAGTCAGTTCTGTTGAGCAGTTACTCTGTTACAGGCACTGTTCTAGGTGCTTGCGATATAAAGCTGAATAAGCATTAATCACAACATAGGTAGTTAATTTACTAATTATCCTTTTTCCCCCAAAAGCAATAGAAAGATCCCCCTGCAAAACACTCTTACTGAGGAGAAGTTGCTGGGCAAATGCAGAGTTAGAACAAAGCGAATTATAAATTCTAAAAGGCGATTTCTTCCAAGATTGGAAAGTTTTACATTGCCCTTTTCCATAGTTCTTCTGACTGAAGTAGAACTATCTAATAGTAATTTACTAATAAATACATTAAACAATAATTAAACTTACCTTTTAACCTGGGTATTTTACTCTTAGTTTCTACTCTCTCTGGAATCAGAATCATACCCTGAGAGCTACAAGGAAAACTTGGTTGTTCACTGTCCTGGGGCTCTCGGCTGAAGGGTTGAGTGGTATCTAGAATCCAGCCCCGTCCTCTGCTCATCCAGCCATGTACAGCTGCAGCCACCCTAAGTGTCTTAGTTTGTGTTGCTATAACAAAAGTACCAGACTGGGTGGCTTAAACAACAAACATTTATTTCTCACTGTCTTGGAGGCTGGGAAGTCCAAGATTGAGTTGTCGGCAAATCCAGTGTCCCGTGAAGCCACTCGTTCTGGTTTGCATGTGCTGTCTTCTTGTATCCTCATGTGGGGGCAAGAGAGAGAGCACTAGCTCACTTTCTCTCCTTATAAGGACACTAGTCCCCTCATGGGGACTCAACTCTTAAGACCTAATTATCTCCCAAAGGCCCTACCTCCCAATAACATCACATTAGAGCTTCTACATAGGAATTTCAAGGGAATACAAACATTCACTCCATAGCACCAAGGAAGGGGCTCCTTGACTATTTCATGTAAAGCAGCCATATGGATTTATGGATAACTTATATTGATTGTTTAAGCTGTCAGACATTGTTCCAAATGTTTCATGTATATTTACTCACTTTGACCTTCCTATGAGGTTGGTATTATTATTATTCCCAATTTATAGACTTGACATTAAGGCTCAAAGTACTAGCAAGTTGGAGATGCCGATATTCCAGTACTGTTGGGCTGGTCTGTTCTCCCCTCCCTCAAGCAGCTCCTTTGGCTTCAGAGTACTCTCTCCATTTCTATGTCTTTCTTTTATCTCTAGCTCTTAAGCTGTCTTTTCTCTTTCCATGAATACTTAGACTCCCATCTGCTTATTTTTGTCTTTAGAAGCAACAGAGAGACAAGATTTAGAATACTGGCTCTGGTATGAAAGCTGAATTCAGATACCACTCCTGCCTCTTGACTTCACCAAGCCTCAGCTTCCTCACCTGTTAAATGGGTACAATGATTTTCACTATCATCATTTGTTGAGAACTTCCTAAAATGCCAGGTATTGCATAAATTCATTTATTTATTCCTCACAATAATCCTATGATTAAAATTCAGTTTTTTTCTCCTTTTTATGGTTGAGGATAGGCACAGAGGTTTAGGTAGTTGGATCAAGGTTATATGACTGGTACAACAGTAGCTTCTTCACAATCGTATGTTGAGTACCTTCATGAAACAATGTGCACCAAGTGCTTCATAAGGTCCCTAACATGTATGTATTCTTCATTTAATGTTAAACATTACCATTATTGTTTTTACCATTACTGTGATTATTATAGCTTGTTAATTTCAATGGCATACTGGTTATCTAACTTACGGTTGCATAAATCTTGCAGAGTCACAGGATTTTATTAAATTTTCTTTATCTCCATGATAGCCTTTTTAAGGCCCTACTGTTAACAAAGTAAATCTTGCAAGGACTTATACCTTCTAAAAACCAGTCATGGATATAGTCAAATTCCTAGAGGCAAAGTGGTTACCAGGGACTGGGGGAGGGGGAATGGGGAATCACTGCCACAAGAGTTTCAGCTTGGGATGATGAAAAAGTCCTCGAGATGGGTAGTGGCAATGGTTGCATGACAAAGCAAATGTGCTTACTTAACTGTATACTTAAAGAATGGTCAAAATGGTAAATTTTATGTCACATATTTTACCACCAAAAAACATCAGTCATCTATGTACAGTAGTCCCCACTTACTCGCAGGGGATATGTTCCAGGGCCCCCAGTGGTGTCTGAAACCCCAGATAGTACTCAACCCTATATATACTATGTTGTTTCCTATACATACATACCTAGGACAAGGTTTAATTTATGAATTAGGCACAGTAAG